GGCAGTTTAAAAGTTATCTCATGGTCTTTCTACTTCAGATTAAATAATCCTATTTCTTTATTTTTGCCTCACAACTTCTGTGTTACAACCCTTTAAACCATTTTTCAGTTGCTATTTTCTGGATCTTTTCCAGGTCTTGACATCACATACTTATATGTGGTAAGATAAAAAGGCAGCAGAGTATTTAAAAATGATTCTCAGTAATGTTAGAACTGGTGTAAAGGCTTATTTACTCAGTCATTTCACATCATACAGTTATTAGGATATGCTTGGTATCATGTTAGGATTTTTAAAAGGCAGCTCTGTATTGGTGGGTGATTTAATTTCTTTAATGTTTTGATCATCCTTTTTCCTTTTCTATGTATTCAGTTTAAAAACATTTTTTAAAGCAGTCTTAGCAAGTTCTTTCTTATTGTTCATGGATGATTTCTCTAGATGGAAGTTTTTAAATTCTATTCTTATCTGAAGCAGCAAGATATAATGGGACAAAGACAGTTAGGGAGACTTAGGTTCAAACCATTTCTCTAGTGGTGTAGAAGAGTGTAAGCAAGGTTCAAAAGTTGTTTCAGAATAATTTAGAATATTCTCATTTGGACTTTAACCTGCATGGTCACTTTGGGGCTCTATTAATTACCAGAATCTCTCTCTCTCTGACTCTCAACTTCCTCCTTGGTAAAAGGGAACAATAACATTGAGCCAATAAGATTGTCAGGAGATTTAAGTATTAAAGTTTTTAGTGTGAATCCTGATACAGAGTAGAGAATTTAGTTAAATGAGTTCTTTCCTTTTTCTTCTTTTTTTTATAAAAAAAAGATAATTTCTCTTTTCAAATCAAGGTAGAAACTGCACTTGTATAAATTATCTAAATATCTATGATAAAAATATATTCAACTAAATAACCTGCTTATGAAGGTCAGTCTTAGGTGTTAGTAACAAGCATTTGTGCTATATTCACAATCCAAGTTATTAGTAATGACCTTCATAATATCAATTTATGTGTTCAAAGTTTGAGCCAACCCATAGCCAACCAATGAGAGTAAGCTCATATTCAGTCGATTCTCAGTTTTAGATTAAAGCAGATTTCACCAAAAGCATTCTGAGGACACTATTTCTTGTGGGTAGTTAATGGATATTATGAATGGGTGAGAAGTGTTGTGAATTGTGGAAATGGGAAATGCTGAAGTAAAAGTTAAAGAGGTTTATGTCTTGAAGGACTTCTGAGAGCCTTTAAAATACTCGTATCTGCTGTAAATCTAAAAGAGTGTAGTACAGTATGCAATATTTACAAAATGACAGATTGAACTTGGATTCCTTTCTCCATGGGGTTCCTTGAGGACCTGTATGCAGCAGAAAGCACTTTGGAAAATACCTAGTTATTTATAACTCATTTTATCAAAATGTTTTCCAGTCTTAGCACTATATTCATCCACTCATTCATTCATTCAGCAAACATAGTTGGTCCAAATGAGCTACTGATGGAGTGCTTTGTGTCTAAGTACCACTTCAAACTGGATTATATAACAGAAACCATAGTTTAATATTTGGAACTTTCAAATGTAGATATATTATCAAAAAATATATAAGATTTTCTAAATGATTATTTTACTCTTATGTTGTGGTTAGAATAGTTACTCTTATTTTGTGGTTCAATATTCTAGCTGTTCAGTGAAGTGAACAGCTATTTTGATTGTGCCATCAGTTCTTTGTACAGCAAATATGCTTATTTACCTATGAGTTATATCCATGTAATTATGTGCCAATATATCATGTATGCATTAAAAATAGGATATTTTAAGAAAGACTGGATGAAAAATTAATAGAAATAGAAATTCTAATATTTTCTTCCTGGACTTTGATGAATCACATTGCTAACTTCTGGGTATACATGTTCCTTTATTTGGAGACTCCCTTAAAGAAAGAAACAGATACAACTGTGCTGCAGACTTGGAGAAAGTATTCTCTTTCATCCATCATATTTGTTACCCTTTACTAGAGTGTAACTTAGATTTGGTAAGCTCTTTGCAAAAAATGGATGAAAAACAATATTTTTAATCTTTATAAACTTATTATGAATGTAGAGAATTCACAATTATAGTTTTTCCCCCCAATAATCATGGGTTTTCAACCTCTGAGCTACACTTCCAGTCCTTTTAAATTTTATTTTGAAAAACAAAAATCTTGTTAAGTTGTTGAGTAGCCTCAAATTCGTGATCCCAATGTCTCAACCCTCTTAGTCACTGGAATTACTGGCAAATGCTGCTGTGCCCAACTATGAAGTGATATTAACTAAAGAGGAGTAGTACTGAAGATGGTGGAATAGGAGTGTATGCATCTTGTCCTCTCACAGAAACATCAATTTTAATAATATCTGTGCACAAAATGCTTTCACAAAATCTAGGGGATCCTGGTAAGAATTACAATACCTGGAAGAGCACAAAAATAAGAAAAGTTCCATTAAAGGAAATAGAGAGGTCAGCTGCACATTACCTGCATTGCTACTCCAAGTCCATGCAACATATAATGGACAGAGATAAAATCTTCAGATTGGAGGAGAATGAAGTGCATACCATAATTACCCAGAGATTCTAGAGTTAGGCTCATCACAGCAAACCCCATTGTCTTGCCTGACACCACAAATCCAAGCTTTAGATTTACTCCAGTGCTAGCCTGGCCACCATAGACCCAGGCTTCAGGTCTTCTCCCGTGGACTCAGACTCCAGGATAGCTCCCAGGATCCCTGATACTAGACCAGCACCTATGAACCTAGGCATGAGATGGATACTGTAAGCCTGCATGCCTGGCCTGCTGAATCAATGACCTTAGCACCAACCAAGCTTATCTGAGACTCCAGTGGCCAGCCTGTCTGGACACTCTGTCAGCTAGACTTCCCATATTCTCTGGATGGACCAATTGGTGAAGGATTTTCATTGTTGAAGCCATTCTGTAAAGACTGGTAGAGGTGCCTACTTCTCTAAGTGCGGACACCAACACAAACCCACAAAGATAATGACTAATTAGATAAACATGTTACCATAAAAGAAGCAAAATAAAGCACCTATAACTAAACTTAGAGAAATGGAGAACTATGAATGGCCAGATAAAGAATTCCAAATAATCATCATAAACAAGTTCAGTGAACTGCAAGAGAACACAGACCATTACATTAAATCAGATAAAAGAACATATGAACAAATGGGAAGTTCAATGAAGAAATAGAAAACAAAAAAGAACCAAACAGAAATACTGGGGCTGAAGAATACACGACTAACCAAAATTTCCATAGAAGGCTTTAATAGAAGTCTCAAGCAGAAGAAAGAGTCATGATCTGAAAGACAGGGCATTTGAAATTACCCAGTTAGAAGAAAATCAGGAAAAAAGATAGATTATAGGACTTCTGGGACACTATTAAGTGAAGCTATATGTATATTATGGAATTTCCAGAAAGAACAGGGAAAGAAAAAGGGTGGAAAGCTTATTTAAATAAATAATGACAGGATTGTGTTTTTGGCCTCCACAGTGCCACCATTGCTCTCTAAGGCCATTACCACCTCTAGCTTGCTGAACTGCAGCCAAATGAGATAGGGATAAATAAAGAGGTCTCTTTGACATGGTTCCTACAAAGCAGACTGCCTGCAAATTAACTGGTGGAAAAGTACCCAGGAGGAACTTGGCTACAAAAGCCCCTGGCAAGGGGCTATAGTGCTCCCTCTACTGGAAGGACAGAGAAACCTCATCACTGCTGGCCTGGTACTGTAGCTCTCTGGGAAATTAGAGTAAGAAATTGCTCAGGACTTCAAAACAGATTGGTGCTTCTGGAGTGTAGGTCTTGGTAATATGCAGGAAACAAGAAAGACCTATCCAGTTGGTCTTTTTGTAGATACCAACCTGTGTGCGTTCTGTGCCAAATTAGCAACAGTTATGCCAAAAGATATCCAATTAGCATGTCCCATATGTGGAGAATGTGCATGAATTTTTTTTAATCTTCTTCCTGTTATTGGTAGTTTTGAATGTTAGATATGTATTTTTTTTAAATCTTCTGGGGTCAAAAGATACTTAAGTTTATGACTGAGACTGGAAAAATAGGAAATCAGGTATTGGCATTTTTCTATTTTCATTTGTATGTGAATCCTTAATACAAATGCAGATATGTAAAGTATTAATGCAAGTCAAAATGTTTAGGTGAACAAGTTTTATCAATTCAACTTTATGGAAACTATAAGTAAATCTGTTGAAGTTTTCTGAACACTGCCAGCATTTGGATTTACATATCTGCATTTAAAAATAAGTAGATTTCTTATTGGTAGCAACTAAATGGTTAGCATTTTATCACACAGTAGATTTCATCCATTTACTTTACATTTTTGAGTTGTCCTACATGAAACTACAGGTTTTTATTTTTAATTTATTTTTACAAAAAAAAATTCATCCCATTTAATTTCCTATTACATGCACTAAGGAAACCAAGAACATCAGGCCCTAAGATGATACTGAGATTCCAGCTCAAGTCCCCTCTAAGATTGCATATGCATCCACTCACACCATTGATCTAAGCAGAACTACACATGCATGCATAAGGCAGGATGGGAGGAGGGGCTAGTCAAAAAATTGCCATCAACTGGAAAGTGGGGATCCAGAAAACCCCTCTGCTGTAGGATGAAGAAAGGTCAAAATTAAAGCAAGTCAGAACACAGGACAAAAATAGGGATGTCAGACCAGAAGTTGGATAGATGAAGACAGTGAAATGCAGGGGAAGTTTTGGGAAAGCAGACTCAGAAGGGAACTTCTTTAATGGGAACTCAGATGGACAGAGGTTTTGTGACTTTTGTGATATACTGAGGCTATAGCAATATGCTCAGCATTACCTCTGCATCCTGTGCCCTGTACTAAGGGAAATACTCCTATCTAGCCCTGCCCATTGACACTCTTAAGGACTTTCACCTGTAACTAAAAGGAAATGTTCCCTACAACACACACAAAGTTAGGTCCTGCAAAGGCCAAAGTTAGGCCAAGCACAGAAAGTCTCCGTAACTCTTCTTGGTGAAACTAAGGCCAAAGAAGCTCATCACAGCTGCCATCTCATCCTCCTCCTCAAATATCAAGTCTTCCTCAGCCCTTTTTTTCTTCTCATTCTGTGACTCTTTCTTGTGGACACTAGCCATTTCCTCCTCTTCTCTGAGTTCCTTCAACCTCTTCTCAAAATCACAATCCTTCAGCTTTCTTCCATCTTTTTTCGTTGACCTCAAAATGTTTCTTCACTTGATCTAGGGAGGAAGGTTCCATATACATGGACAAACCCAGGTTTCATGACATTCCCTACCATTCATGAGATCCAGGAAGTTGATGCAGTCTTCCATCACACAGTCACAGACATGGCAGTAATACCCTCCCATCTCAGACCCTGGAGAGGTCTTATAAATGATTATTTTCTCCCAAGCTTAGATTTCAAGTCCAATTTCTAGTCCCTGTGCTACAGAAGTGCACTGGTTTTCCATCCTTTTTTTTTTGCTCTTCCTTGAGCCTCTCCTTAGGGAGCTTCTCTCATTCATCTTTGTCCTATTTTTGGCTAAAACCCAAATTCCATAAAATCAGTCTGGGGCTGTAAGGCAAGATCACCTCCATAAGTGTAGTTTTGGATTCTCACAGCTATCTGTCTTTAATGTTGATTGTATTCTGTGCTGTTACTGTAAGTTTGCTATTGAAATACATTAGACTATTTAGAAAAAGATATAATGACAGAAAAATCCAGAAATCTGGAGAGGGAGATCCATGAAGTCCTAAGAACTCCAAATTAAAAATCAATATGTAACATTAACAAAACATGTGTTTCAATTAATGTAAATCTTCTAGCCATATTATAACCAGATTCTCCAATGTTAAAGACAGAATTTCATTTTTCGAAAGCCTGAATAGTATTCCATTGTGTACATATGTACACCTCATTTCCCTCTCTATTCATTCATTGAATAGATAGTTTGATTCCTGTAACTTGGCTATTGAGAACCATACTTCAATAAACAGGGGAGTGCAGGTATCTCATTTACATACTATTTCAAATCCTTTGGATTTATACCCAGAAGTGAGATTTCTGAGTTATAAGGTAATCAATCATCATTTTTTTTTTAGTTTCTTGAGGAACCTTAATAGTTTTTCATGGGGGGCATGGGTATTGGGGATTGAACACAGGGGCACCTAACCACTGAGCCATATCCCCAGTCTATTTTGTATTTTATTTAGAGACAGGGTCTCACTGAGTTGCTTAGAGCTTGCTGTTACTGAGACTGGCTTTGAACTTGCAATCCTCTTGTCTCAACCTCCAGAGCCTCTGGGATTACAGCAGCAGCACCACCATGCCCAGATGGCTATACTAATGGCTGTACTATTAAATTTTCACCAATAGTGTACAGAGTCCTCTTTCCTTCACATTCTTGTCAACACTTCTTATTTTTCATAGTTTTGATAATAGCCATCCTATTATTATCACATATGAGGTGATGTGTTACTGTGATTTTAATTAGTATTTCCCCAAAGATTTTTTTTCATATATCTGTTTGCCATCTATTTTTGATAATGTGATGAAACCAAGGGTATTATGCTAAGTAAAACAAACCATCACAGAATGAAAAACATTGTACATGTGGAATCTAAGACAACCAARCTTATAGAAACAGGAGAAGGGTGGTTACAAGAGGCTGGAATTGATTCCTTCATTTCATGGATTTCTGCTTGACTTTTTACAGAATATCTATCTCTATTGAAGTGATCTTTCACTTTCTGTATTTTCTTTCTGATTTCACTGTTTATGTCATTCTTTAACTTGCAGTTCAGGTTTTATAAGGAATTATAAATTCCGTCTCTGACATTTCTTCCTCTGTAGTGTCAATGGATTGTGTTATGAAGTATTTTGGTTTGTTTGGGGAGATTTGTTCCCTTGCTTATTCATGTTTTTTTTTTTTTTTTTTTTTTTTTTTTTTTTTTTTTTTTTTTTT